AAATTATGACCCCTGGATGGTGGTCCCAACAGCTCATACAAATAAGAATTCAGACAGGCCTTGGAAACTTAGACACTTGCCAAAATTCATTATCTCTTTTATTTTTTCACTAAATTTAATGATATTATAAAAAGAAGCTCATTTAGTGTACTTTGTAATAAGACCATTGCCAAGTCAGTTATTGTTTTCAAAATAAATGGACTGTGAGAGTAATATACACATATACCGAAGCTGTTGCATTTTTCCCACACTCCATATATGTATGAATATGTGTATATAATATATATATATATTATATATANTGGTGGGTGTTGGATGCGGGTGTGGGTATGGGTGTGGGTGTGGCGTGGAAAGGGTGGGAGGGTGGGGTGGATTAGGATGGCAAACAGGTCGTCTTCTCCTTCAAGTTATAGGGTGGTTTTGGATAAGAGATCCTATTGTTCAGTTAATTTTTTTAAATTCTTTTTTAATCCTTTTTTCCTTGTATTTTTTTTTCTCTTTCTCTATGTCTCTCTTTCTTTCTCGATTTTTTGTTAGTCGCCGTAAATAGATTGGTAAGACGGCACTGGCCTTGACTTTTATATTTTATCTTTTTTTGTCTCTTTTTATGACTGGATAAGAAACTTGTCTTATGGGCTTCCGGCTTCCGTGTTCTTCATTTTTTTCTTCTTTTTGTTCTATTATTGGCCAAGATTAGGCGCTGTTATTTATTTTTTATTTTATTTTTTTTTTTTGTCTCGCTTTGTGTGTAGGTGAAATGCATCTCCTCTGGAAGGTGAACTAACGAGGGGCGAAAAGGACACTGGCATTTTTTTTTTTTTTTTTTTTTTTTTTTATTGTGGCGTAATGTTGGTTCTGGTTTTTTGTTGGTCTTGTGATTGTTGTCCTTATTGTTGTTTGATAGTGTGATGTTATTGTTTGTGATTGTCATTGTTGATTTTATTTTGTGCATTATTGTTATATGATGTATGTATAGTTGATACTCATAATATTATTCAGTCATCATCATTTCATATCAGCGGGTCATCATCACCATTATCATCCACTATCACCTATATAAATCATCAGATTGATCAGGCATCAGGCTATCATCTCATCCTATAATTAACACATCATTCACCATAATCATCAAATCGAATCATCTATCACCATAATTAAAATAATCATCCCATCACGCATAATCATCTTCTAGCAGACATCATCATCACCATAATTAACACAGTCATCATCACCATAATCATCATCAAACAGTCTATCATCAATCATCATTCATCGATATATTCAAGTAATGAATTCATTCATTCTTACATTCATCATCATGTCATCATCATCACCATAACAACATAATTATCGTCCAAACAGTCATTCATGTCATCACCACTGCATAATTCATCACCACTCAGCCACCACATTCGCCACATTCTCCTCCATCACCACGATCGGGGCAGCAAATCTCCAGGTGATCACTCGAGGTGGATTCAGCGCCGGTCACTTACCGTCTCTCTGTTTCTCTAAGTGTTTTTTTCTGCGTATTTTTCCTCTTCGGGTTACCTGTGCGTTTCTTTGGTTTTGGCTCTTTTGCTGTTTTGCTGTTTTTTTGCCTTTCCTTTGTTTGTTTGTTTCTTTCTTTTTTTGGTGTTTGTTTGTGTTTTTGTGTTGTTTTGTTTTTTCTTTTTCTTGTTTTTCTTTATTGTCGTAGATTACACTTCTTGTTTATATTCCTTATTGATATTGCTTTCTCCTTTTATTCATTCATGTACTTCCTTTCCCTTCTCCTGCACCGCCTACTTTTCCCTCCTCCCTCCTCCTCCTCTCCTTCCTCCTTCTCCCCTCCTCCTCCTCCTCCCCTCCTCCTCCCTCCTCCTCCTCCTCCTCCTCCTCCTCCTGCTCTCCTCCCTCCTCCTCTCCTCCTCCCCCACCCTCCTCCCCCCACCTTCTCTGCTCTCTTCCTGCTTCCTCTTCCTCAACTCTTTTCCTAATCCCCTCCTCCCGCTGTCCTCACTCTTCCTCATTCCTTTGCCTCTCTCCCTTCCTCCTCCTTTCTCACTTGCTTCCATCCTTCTTCCTCCCATTTCCTCTGCCTTTAGTTCTGGAATTACTCGAAACTCGTGTTGCATGTATATAGCTAGGGATCTTAAGCAGGTATGTGTAGGGAGGGGTAGGGGAGGGGGAAGGTTCACCGCACCTCTTGGCTCTCTGTGTCGTCTGCCCTGTCTTTCTGGTTGTTTCTGTTGTCTGGCCTGACTCTCTTTAATGTAATTAGCTATGTATGTATCTGTCTCTGTCTCTCTGTATGTCTCTCTCTGTGTCTCTCCTCTCTCTCTCTCTCTCTCTCTCTCTCTCTCTTTCTCGTCTCTCCTCTTCTCTTCTCTCTCTCTCTCTCTCTCTCTCCCTCTCTCTCTCTCCTTACACTCCACCCTTTCATTTACTCACTCCTCACTCACTCTCTCACTCACGCCACTCATCACTCACTCACTCACTCACTCACTCACTCACTCACTCACTCACTCACTCACTCACTCACTCACTCAGCTCACTCTAGCTATCCCCACTTCTATATATGTTTATCCCACCCTTCTTCCTCTACGCTAAACAAACAGACATTCGTTCCCTGGTGTTTTGAGTTTTCTTTGTATGTATGTATTTATTCACCTTCCAAGTATCTCCATCTCCACGCCACAAATTATTCATGGGCGTTTGAGTAACTAATCTTGGCGGATACGGCGAGCGGAGGGCGAGTGAGGATGGGCGGGATGGTAGGGGTGGGCCGTTAGTGGACGATGGGCTATTACGGCGCTCCACGACACGAGAGAAAAGTGTTGCGAGGGTGGGCTTTGACAAGGGGGAGGGTGGGGAAGGGGGGCGGAGGGTCCGGGGTGTTGTTTGGAATCTCTCTTTTTGTTTTGTTTTTTGTTTTTCTTGTCTTGGTGAGTATGTTGTGTTTTTGTGGGATTTTGTTCGGCGGCGGGTACCATATTTTTGGGTCGTCTCGGTATCCCCGTCTTGAAGTTTTGGCTTTTCACGGTCTTTCCCTCGGTCTGTATCTTAGTGTCTATAATCTTTCTGTCTGTCTATCTATATATCAGTAGGTATATATATATATATATATATATATAATATAATTATATATGTATATATGTATTATGTATTGTGGTGTGTATGTGTGTGTGTATATGATATATCTATATGGCTATTATGTATATATATATATATAATATATATATAGGTAATATAATATATAATATATATGTATATATATATATATATATATACATATATGTGGTGTATATATGTACTATATATAATATATATATACTTATATATATATATATATATATCATTATATTATATATTATATATATATATATTTAAAATATATATATATAAATATATAGTATATATATATATATGCTATTATATATATATTATATATATATATATGTATATATATGTTGTATATGTATGTATACTGTACTATATATATTATATATATATATATATTATATATAATAATATAATATATATATTATTACTGTATATATATATAATATATATAATGTAGTTATATATATGTATATATATTATACATATTATATGTAATAATATATTATACATATATATAGTATAATAATACTATATAATATATAATTATTATATATATATAATATATATCACTATAAGCATACAATACACATACAATATATATATAATATATATGATACATATATATATGTATATATATATAATATATATATATATATATATATATGTAGAATTATTAGTAATATATGTAGTGTGTGTGTGGTGTATATATTATACTATATTAATATCTTATATATCTATATAGTATATATACTTGTATATGTATATGTATATATTATATATGTTATATTATATGTTATATGAGTATTATAGTATATATACTGTTGTTATACTTATATATGTATTCTCATCATATTTTATATGTATATATATGTGTATATATACTAATATATATGTAGTAGTATATATACTATATATTGTTATATATTATGTGTTTTATATATATTATATATAGATATATATATATAATATATATATATAATATTACATATTCTCTTCTGACTGTTACTCTTCAAATTGGTCGTCAAATTCGCCCTCAATCCCGAGCGTCCGTCGCAGCCACAGCGTAGGGTGGCCTTGGGGAGTGGCTAGGAAGTCACGGCTCGTTACTCCTGACGTGGCCGCCCGGCTGAACACTTAAGGGAGTGAAGACGGCGTAACGCCACCGCCGCTCCGCCACCACCACCGCCTTCGTCTGCGCCCGAGCGTTATTTTTTCGCGAGGTTGCGAACGTGCGCCGAGGGGGTGAAAGGGGGTTCGGAAGGGGTTCGGATTCCTCTCGGGGCGGTCGGTTTGCGGTCGTGGGGAGGGTGGCGGGGAGGGGCTGGTCGATGAGGTGTTCTTTCAACGCTTCAGGTATTTACTTATTGTTTTTTTTATGGCGAGATGAAGTTAATGAGATATCTCGGTAAACTATTTAGAGTCTTTGATTTCAGTGTTAGGCGAGAGTGAGAGGAAAAGTAAGAGAGATAGCGTGAGTGAGAGAAAAAGGAGAAGAGAGATGATTAAGAGTGAGAGCAACAGTAAAGAGAGGAGGAGAGAGAGAGAGAGAGAGAGAGAGAGAGAGAGAGAGAGAGAGGAGCGAGAGAGAGAGAGAGAGAGAGGAGAGAGAGAGAGAGAGAGAGAGAGAGAGAGAGAGAGACGAGAAGAGAGGAGAGGAGAAGAAGAAGCAGCGAGGCAGCGAACAGTAGACAGAGACAGAAGAAAACAACGAAAAGAGAAAGAGAATAGAGATAGACAGACAGACAGACAGAGAGGATGAAAAAAAGCAGCAGCATTTTGTCATATATCCTCCTGAACTTTCCATTTTTGGTTGCAGCTGCTTGTTGGCTCGAGATTCCCCGAGAGTTGTTCAGTCTCCTTTGATCGAGACCTTTTGCCGAAGGGAAGAGAAATAAGGATTTAAAAAGGGAGAGAAAGAGTTGAGCTTCTCGGATATGCCATTTTTTGTTTGTTTTATTTTGAGGGTTCTTTCTGAGTGAGAGAAAGTGAGAGAGAGAGAGAGAGGGAGAGTGAGAGAAAGTAAGAGTGAGAGAAAAATGAGAGAGAGTAAGAGTGAGAGTGAGAGGAGTGTGTGTGCGTGAGAGAGAGAGAGAGAGAGAGAGAGAGACAGACGAGAGAGAGACAGAAGAGAGACGAGAGAGAGAGACAGAGAGAGAGAGAGGAGAGAGAGAGAGAGAAGACAAAACAAACAAACAAAAAAGCCGGAATTGTGAGGGGGGTCGCAGAGGGCATTCTTGTTTGCGTAGATAAATGAGGCGAGAGTATGTGAGGGGAAAAGAGGGCAAATATGAGGCTCGCAGGTCACGTTCGAGGCAATAGTTGGTAAGTCAATATTCCGGTGGAGCTCCATGATCCCTGTGGCGGGGCGGCGGTGGTGGGCGTGGCTGTGTTTGTTAGCCTGGCGAGCACACCCACCCAATCCCTACCCCCGCCTTTGGTTCCCCTCCCCCCCCTCCCCCTCCACCCACCACACCCACCCACCCACCCTCACACCCTCGCAGCCCTCTCATGACTCATGCTTCCGCCCTCTTTTCCCTCTCTCCCTCTCTTCCTCTTTTTCTTTTTTTTCTTTTTTTTCTTCTTGTTTTTACTCTCGCTTTTCTTGTGGGTGTATTTCCTTATGTGCTATTTTGTTATTGTTGATTTTCCATTTGCTTTTCTTGTTTTTCCTTTTTTTCTTTTCTTTATTGCCCGTTTTCCCCTTTTTTCTTTTTTTACTGTTTCGTTCTTACTCGTATTTCATTTTCCTTCACCTCCCTTGATCTCCTCCCCCGCTCTCTCTCTCTCTCTCTCTCCTCTCTCTCTCTCTCTCTCTCTCTCTCTCTCTTCTCTCTCTCTCTCTCTCTCTCTCTCTCTCTCTCTCTCTCTCTCTCTCTCTCTCTCTCTCTCTCTCTCTCTCTCTCTCTCTCTCTCTCTCTCTCTCTCTCTCTCTCTCTCTCTCTCTCTCTCTCTCTCTCTCTCTCTCTCTCTTTCTCTTTCTCTTTCTCCTTCTCCTTCTCTTCTCCTCTCTTCTCCTTCTCCTTCTCCTTCTCCTTCTCCTTCTCCTTCTCCTTCTCCTTCTCCTTCTCCTTCTCCTTCTCCTTCTCCTCTCTCTCTCTCTCTCTCTCTCTCTCTCTCTCTCTCTCTCTCTCTCTCTCTCTCTCTCTCTCTCTCTCTCTCTCTCTCTCTCTCTCTCTCTCTCTCTCTCTCTCTCCTCTTCCTCTTTCCCTCTTTCCCTCTTTCCCTCTCCCTCTCTCCCTCTCTCCCTCCATTTATCGCTTTTCTTTGCATTATCCTTTTTCTGTTCCTCCTCCTCCTCCTCTTTTTATTCCTCCTCTTGCTGCTTTGCTGTTACTGCTGCTTTGTTCTCCTCCTCCTCCTCTTCTCATCTCCGTTTTCTCCTCCTCCTCGTCCTCTTTTATTCCTCCTCTTGCTGCTGCTTTGTTCTCCTCCTCCTCCTCTTCTCATCTCCGCTTCTCCTCCGCTCCTCTCCGCTCCCCTCTCCTCCTCCTCGTTCTTCTCTTCTCCTCTCCTCCTCTTCTCTCTTCTCCTCTTCCTCCCTTCCGCGTCCTCCTCCTCTTCTCTTCTCCTAGTCATCTTTCTTCCCCTTCCGCGTCCTTTTCCTCCTCCTCTCCTCCCCTCCCTTCTTTCTTCCCCTTCCGCCTCCTCCTCCTCCTCCTCCTCTTTCTTCCCCTTCCGCCTCCTCCCCTCCTCCTTCCTCCTCCTCCTACCTCCTCTCCTCTCCTCCTCCTTCCTCTTTCTTTCCCCTTCCGCGTCCTCTCCTCCTCCTCCTCCTCCTCCTCTTTTCTTCCCCTTCCGCCCTCCTCCTCCTCCTCCTCCTCCTCCTCCTCCTCTCCTTCCTCCTCTTTTCTTCCCCTTCCGCGTCCTTTAATTTAATCTCCTCCCGAGTGCCGTATTTCATGAAAAGTGCCTCCGACGTTGTAGCGTGTGTTGCTCAGGCGCATTTAACCTTGGTTTATGCACCTGTCGTTACGAATTATTTCCACTTTTCCACCTTTCTCTCCAGTTACATTTGTCCGTCTTCCTGTCTGTCTGGCTCTCTGTCTTTTGTCTGTCTCTCTCTTCTCTCTCCCTCTCTTGTCTCTATCTCTGTCTTCTCTCTCCCTCTCTTGTCTCTGTCTCTCTCTTCTCTCTCCCTCTCTCTCTTCCTTTCTTTTCCTCCCTCCCTTTCTCACTTCCTCCCTTCCTCCCTCCCTTCCTTCTTCCCTCCTCCCATGCCTCTCACCCCCCCCATACCTCTTTCTTGCTCCCCCTGTCCATTCCAACCTCCCCACCCCCCCACTCGCCCGAGGATGTGTGGAGGTCTGAAGGCTATTTATTGGGGTTTGGTGGAGGGTTTGGTACCGATTTTTAAATTCTTCCTGAAGCCGGTAGAATTTATTTAATCAGGTCTTGTCATGTAATTTCATTTTTTGAATCTTGTCTCACTCAGATTTTTCCCCTGTGATTGTCTTGTATTCCTTGCTTTCCTTGGCGTTTAAAAAATTGTTCTGTCTCTTCTTTCTTTCTTTCTCTTTCTCCCTTTTCTCTTTCTCTCTTTCCTCTCTCTTCTGTCTCCACACACCACACACACACACACACACACACACACACACCACACACACACACACACACACACACACACACAACCTCTCTCTCTCTCTCTCTCTCTCTCTCTCTCTCTCTCTCTCTCTCTCTCTCTCTCTCTCTCTCTCTCTCTCTCTCTCTCTCTCTCTCTCTCTCTCTCTCTCCTCGTTTCTCTCTCTTCCTTTCTCTTTCTCTTTCCTCCCCCCGACACTCTCTCTTTCTCCCTCATTCTGCGATTCCATCAACTTTAAGCTTCGGATTTGCCCTCTATCAGTCTCTGGGCGATGTTAATTATTTTAATGTGATATGATTGTACGCGAATCCCAAATTATATGTTCAGATGTTGGTGGTTTCATCTTTTTTTATGTGGCTTCTAGATTTTGCTCTTTATTTTGGTTATTCCACTTTTGATTATTTATTTTTATTTAACTTTGTGGTGGATTATGGATTTTGCTATTTTGTTTTTATTTTATTTTTATTTTTTTATCTTTATTGCTCTTTAGTCTTTGTTTTCAGTTTTAATTATCTCGCATCGATGTATGATTCGTTTCGTTACTCTCTCTCATCGCGCATGGAGAGATAATTGAGTCTTTGAGCCAAGAAGTCCAAGAAAGAAAGAGAAAAGAAAAGAAAAGAAAAGAAAAAAGTTTCGCTTCTGTCATCGGGAAAAGAACTCGTCGATATCCCTCTTAAGATGCTTACGAGAAATGATCAGCAGTACTGGGATGAGGGAGAGAGCATCATTATGTCGCGGAGTTATATATAAAAGGAGGGGGGAGAGGAGAGGAGGAGGAGGAGAGAGGGAGGGAGAGGAGAGAAGGGAGAAGTGATTAGAGGCTGGGGTGGATTGGGTTGTTTTTTTTTTTTTTTTTTTTTTTTTTTTTTTTTTTGAGGGAGGGGTAGGGTTGGTGGGGGGAGGAGGGAAAGAGAAGGAGAGATAGAAGGGATGGGGATGGGGATGGGAGGGAGGAGAGGAGAGTGAGAAATGGAGAATGGGGAGAAGGAGGGTAAGAGGAGGGTTGAGTAAGGGAATGGAGAGGTTAGGTTGAAGAAAGAAGAGGATTTAGACAAGGAAGGGTGTGGGGAAGGGAGACGTATTTAATCGCTCTAATTCAGAGCAGTGTAAAAAAGAAAGAAAGAAGGAAAGAAACAGGAAGAAAGGCAAAAAAGAGAGAAGAAAGAAGAAAGAAAACAGGAAGAAAGACAGAAAGAAAGAGAGAAAGAAGAAAGGCAAGAGAGAAAGAAAGAAAGAAACCAATAAAGGATGGAGGGGACGGACTACTAAACTTTTTAACGAAGAACGTGAGAACAAGGTAATCAACGCTGGCAGAGATAAAAAAAAACGAAAAAGAAAATACAAGTTTTAGGCGAGAGTGAGTGGGGGAGGGAAATAAAAAGAAAACCGGGGTGTTGGAGAAGAGGAGTGTAAGTGAAAGTGGAGCAAAAGGAATTAACCGTGGACAAGTGAAAGAGAGTGTGGAGGGAGGGGGAAGAAGAGAGGAGGCAGGAAGGGAGGGAGGGTGGGAAAGTAGGGAGGAGGAGGGAGGGAGGTAGGGGGAAGGGTGAGAGGGAGACAGGAAGGGGGGATGAGGGAAGAGGGGGGGAAAGGAGGGAGGGGGAAGAGAAGGGGGAGAGTGGGAGGGAGGGATGAAGAACAAGAAGAAAAGGAAGGAAGGAAGGAAGTAACGAATGAATGAATAAGTGAATAGAAAGAAAGAATGAGGCATGGAGGAAGGAAAGAGGGGAAATTAGGGGAGAGAAAACGAGTGCGTGACGCATGAGACCTTTGCAAAAAAGAGAAAACGTATTTACAGTGAGTGTCAAGGTGTAGTTGATGATTAGTGAATGGCCTTTTGGAGGATGGTGCTCGGTGGCCTTATCTCGTCCGAGTTGTCTCTCCTCGGTTATATTGTTATTGTGTTATTGTTATTGTTATTTTTTTGTTTTTTTGTTATTATTTTTTTTATTGTTATGATTATTATTGTTGTTATTGTTATTGTATTGTTATTATCGTTATTATTTGTTATTATTATTATTATTATTATTATTGTTATTATTTTATATTATTATTATTTATTATTATTATTATTATTATTATTATTATTATTATTATTATTATTTTAGGACAAATTGACAGAGATTCAGAGAAAGTCTCTGTTGATGCAGATAGGCCTTGGAACTGCCATCTCTCTTTTGGTCGTTTCTAATTAACAATTATTTTTTTAGGGTCTTGCACAGATTGTACGAATAGTAGGTTTGTTTGTATGTATTTACATAGTTTTATGCATATGTATGACTTAAAAAATCATAGTATAATAGTAAACTAAAA